ACGATTATAGCTCTTAAGGGCCTTCAAAAAATATTTTTTAAAAATCCACGATTATAGCTCTTAAGGGCCATCAACAAATATTTTTTAAAAATCCAAGATTATAGCTCTTAAGGGCCATCAAAAAATATTTTCTTAAAAATCCACGATTATAGCTCTTAAGGGCCTTCAAAAAATATTTTTAAAAAATCCACGATTATAGCTCTTAAGGGCCTTCAAAAAATATTTTTAAAAAATCCACGATTGTAGCTCTTAAGGGCCTTCAAAAAATATTTTTTAAAAATCCACGATTGTAGCTCTTAAGGGCCTTCAAAAAATATTTTTAAAAAATCCACGATGGTAGCTCTTAAGGGCCTTCAAAAAATATTTTTTAAAAATCCACGATTGTAGCTCTTAAGGGCCTTCAAAAAATATTTTTTAAAAATCCACGATTGTAGCTCTTAAGGGCCTTCAAAAAATATTTTTTAAAAATCCACGATTATAGCTCTTAAGGGCCTTCAAAAAATATTTTCTTAAAAATCCACGATTATAGCTCTTAAGGGCTTTCAAAAATATTTTTTAAAAATCCACGATTATAGCTCTTGAGGGCCATCAAAAATATTTTCTTAAAAATCCACGATTATAGCTCTTAAGGGCCTTCAAAAAATATTTTTTAAAAATCCAAGATTATAGCTCTTGAGGGCCATCAAAAATATTTTCTTAAAAATCCACGATTATAGCTCTTAAGGGCTTTTAAAAATATTTTTTAAAAATCCACGATTATAGCTCTTAAGGGCCTTCAAAAAATATTTTTTAAAAATCCACGATTATAGCTCTTAAGGCCTTTAAAAAAATATTTTCTAAAAATCCACGATTATAACTTAAGGGCCTTCAAAAAATATTTTTTAAAAATCCAAGATTATAGCCCCTAAGGACCTTCAAAAAATATTTTTTAAAAATCCATGATTATAGCTCTTAAGGGCCATTAAAAATATTCTTTAAAAAATCCACGATTATAGCTTTGAGGGCCTTGAAAAATATTCTTTAAAAAATTCAATTATAGCTCTGAATGGTCTTCTAAAAACTCCGCTACTAAAGCGGTGAAGTCGTTCATTTTTTTTGTTTTTAAATCATGCTTTAAAATTTTACGATTGTAACCTTGAAGGTTCCTCAAGGTCCTGAAGGTCGTCTGGAAGTTCTTAAAAACTATTCTAAAAACGAGAATTGTAGCTCTTAGGGTCTTTCGAACGTCTAATATTATAGTTCTTAAGATCCTTCAAAAATATTCTTAGAAATCAACATCTTTCAGAAATCAATGAGTGCAGAAGATACTCATCGAAAGTGTTTTCCATGTCGGCATCCCTACTCAGTCGAAGTAACATGATATTTCATTTCAAGCATTTATTCTTAAAGCAATTATTTAATATGCCTTTCCGATGGACAGACATATTCTTCTTGTAAATTAATGGAATATTTTCAATTTTTTTTAATTAGCCACCCTTTATGCCATAGGGAGGCCCATCTGTGCAATGTGTCGCTGACTTCTTTTCAATTTCTCAAATAAAAAAGTTTTGATCGTTTTTTGCATTCTGCCATACATTTGGCCTGGTGTTAATTGAATTGCTAGTTATGTTTATATGGATGTTTTGTTTAAAGTGAGGACTTTTTAATAGAACATTTAAGTACTTAATGATATGAATCGAATTTAATGTCATCAACATTCTTCAAAACAATATATATTTCAAATAAATAAAAAATAATATCACATCACAAACGAGTTTGTACGAGATTGTGAAATAAGAACGAGCTGTATTATATAAAATGTATTTTGAAACTTTTTATTTAAAAGGTTGTTATGCCGACATTTTCGTCACCTATACAGGGTGAGATGAAAAAAATGCAACCCACTTCAGACTGCTGTCATTTCTAAGCCACTCTTCCGACAGCTGTTAAAATTATTCCAGTGACGGCTCATTATATTGTTTACAGGCCTTAAAAAAGTATTTTGGTAAGAATTTTCTAGACAAAAAGTTATTCGTGATGGAATTCAAGCGTGATAGTGTGATTTCTTTATATTTGGCTGGAAAACCACAAGTGGCAATCGTTAGAACACTCCAGAATTTAAATGTGAATAAATCTTTTGAGTCTCCTATCATCGCTCGTTACCGTGATACCGGTAGCTCTAGCGCGACGTCAGTGGATGGACGAAGTGGATGGAAGAAAACAGCAACATCAGCAGAAATGGTTCGAAAAGTAAAGAAGCGACTTGATCGAAACTCGCGTCGCAGTAGCCGAAAAATGGCTCGTGAGCTGAAAATATCGCCATATTCCATTCGACAAATATTGAAAAATGAGCTGGAGGCAAAGCCATTGAAATTCCAAAAAGTGCAAGAACTTGCACCGCAACAGAAAGAAAATACACTCAAAAGAGCTAAGGAGTTGCCTCGCTTGACGAAAGCGGTGAACTGCCGAATTTGGTTTTCCCCGATGAGAAAACATTCGTTGTCCAGCAGTTTGTAAACAAACAAAATTATCGTGTTTACTTGCCAGAGAGGTCAGCTGAAAATGTGCACCTTCGGTTGGCCACCAGAACTCAAGCGCCGGCCATGGTGATGGTGTGGGCCGCCATAACAGCCAAAGGTGGCTCTCCGCTCGTATTAATCGACTGTGGCATCAGAATAAATGCCGAATATTATGGCGAAAATATTCTGGTGTATTAAAGCCTTGGACACGCAAACATTTTGGCCGCAGACCTTGGACATTCCAACAGGACTCAGCACCATCGCACTCAGCACGCGCCATCCAAGAATGGTTACAAAACGAGGTTCCTCGCTTCATTTCCAGCGCACAATGGCCACCAAAATCTCCGGATATCAATCCGGAGTATTTTATAACTCCCACTTAATAAAAAATAGTTTAGAGTTAACTTCGTTTAAAACTGGTATTCTTCAAGCAATCCCACTCGACAATATGTTTTATTCACGATTAGAAACGAGCAAATTTAGCTCTACTTTTAGCACTTTTAGTAATTTTTAGTACCAATGCCACTGGTACAATATTCATGAACCTAGGTCTTTTTGGGCCAAATCCGTTTCAGGATATTTGGAGGCGATCTAGCGATGTCCGTCCGTCCGTCTGTCTGTCTGGCTGGTGCTCACGAGAACTCTCGAAGGGAGTATCCGACTTGGTCCAAACTTGGTATATCGTAATATTATTATCAAAATTAGATCGAGTTCGGAGATAAGCAATATCGGTCCACTCCTTCTGGTGTATCCCCCACAAAAGGTAGAAATTTTAAAAAAAAATATATATTTTACTACACAAGAAGAGAAATGATAATCCGATTTTGCTCCAACTTTGGGAATTCAAATATTTGCATCAGGTGTGAAAATGGACAATATCGGTGCAATCCTTCTGGTACTTTCCCAATGAATGGTCAAAATTTTGAATAATTAAAACTCTTATAAATTGTGATCTAAGTGTCCGATTGTCTTCAAATTACACACATCACAATACTTTTATTAACGCAAGGTCTGGTGTGAAAATGGAATATATCAGCCATAAAGGGTCAAAATTTAGAATATTCATGAAGATCATAAAACGCGAAATTAACTTCCGATTCCATTCAATTAATATTCAATATTTACCTCAACACAAGATATGTTATAAATATGGTAAAGATTGGACCATTTCTTTCGCTACCACTACAAAGGGTTCAAGATTTTTGAAAAACAAAACGCTCAAAGAAATCGAAATAAGAATCCAACTCTCCTCAGATTTCACAAGATCTGTTGTGAAGATGAAGATGATATATATCTGCCAATCCCCTCTGGTATCTCACCCACAAAGGGTCACAATTTCCAATACTTATATCTGTCATAACTTGTGAAACAAGTCGGCGATTCTTTACAACTTGCGATATCTAAATATTTCTCTTAAATTCTTCTTCTTCTTCTTAAAAATCTGATATGAATATGTGATATATCGAAATTTATGATTTCACATAAAATTGCATATAAAAGTTCGATTCCCTTCAAATTTTGCGCATACCAATATTTTTATTTGTATTAGATGAAATATGAAAATGGAATACTTCACGCATATTTCCACTTTTTCCAAGAATTTGCAAATATCTCATATAAAGTATAGGAAGTAGTCCGGTACGTTGTAATACAGGGTTGCCCATATTCGACGGAACTTTGGGTGCTTTGGGCCCATTCCAATCGACGAGGCTTGTCCGCAGGCAACATTCTTTGCGTCAATTGAATTTTGTACGGGAACAAATGCAAATCAATGCGAATAATTCGTTGTAAAGTGGACCGAGCCATGCCCAACTGCTGAGAACGGCGTTTTTGGGATGTTCTTGGGGACCTCTCAACACTGGCTCGTACGGCAGCGATATTCTCGGCCGATCGCCTTGGTCGAATTTTATATGGCCTCTTCGGATTAAAAAGAGCCTTACCTTCTTGACTTCTTCTGTTGAATGTAAATTTCAGAGCGCTCGCGTGGCGTGTATTGGTTCATGGTAAAAATCTGCTTGGACTGATGCTTCAAACGCGATATGTCATTAAGCGATGTGACATCTCTGTCAAAAGTTATGGCGTTGCCAGATGGGTCCGTCGAATATGGGCAACCCTGTATTTTTATCATCTTAGGCCTGATACGAACTGGTCAATATTGTCCAACTGCTTCGGAACCTCCCTCATAAAGGCTGAACAGTTTGAATAATCATAACTCAAGGCTGGGGGTATACACCTGTCGGCAAAACCGACTGATACATTTTAACTTGTTTTACACGATTTTTGATTTCTCAAAATTTAAGATTCTGTCTCCAAGCCATTTCCTTTGGTGCATTGATTATCAGTCAGTCGTTAATAACGCCACCACGAAACTAGTTAAGCCACTGTCAACAATTGGTTTAGGTGACGTAAAATGACACGTTTTCATTTTCAAATTATTAATTCATGAATTGACTTTGAATTCAATGGAAATTTAAAGGCTTTGCGCGCAGAGTTCGTCAAGGCGAGAAAACTGAAATGCAATTACAAAGTGTCCGGTGGTAGACCGGAAAAAAGAAATTATTGTTGCATTTTAAATTTCATCATTTACTTTGCCTTGCCAAAGAGAATAAGAGTAGCAGTCCTAAAGTAAATTCTAAACCAATAAAATGTCCATAGTTCGTGTGAAAAAAGCCCGAGTGAATTTTCAAAGAGATTTTCGCGACTTTTGCCATTTGCCAAATTATTTAATGCGAATTTATGGCAGAGATTTCTCGGAGCGCAAACGTACAAAATGGCAAACACTCTTGCTGAGGCTGTATGCTGTGGTGACCGTTTCCAGTCACATCTATTGTTTCTATTTCATTTCGCAGCAGGTCTTCTTGATGTTTCTGTCTGGAGTACCAAACTTGGAATTGTTTTTACGTCTGCTCTCCGGTTTTAATTATGGCCTATTTGCGATAATGAAATATTTGGCATTTAAAAATCGTATCACGGATGCTGCAGCTATTAATCGAGTGTTGAGGGAAATCTATCCTAAAGCTGGAAGGGAGCGAATTTTGTATCGCGTTAATGCATTTTTCTGGCCCAAATGGATGTTGACGGTGATTTATTTCTATTTCGGGGCAGTGGCATTTATTGTCCTTTCGCCGCTATTGGAAAGTGTTATTGTGTTTGTAATTGGTGTCGGTCGCTTGGGTTGGAATGAGGCCCAATTTGGCTATATTAAACTATATGATATTCCCTATAGTTTCGATCATCGCAGTCCATTTGCCTATGTGCTCACCTACAGCATAGAACTGTTCCACGCCCAGTTTGTCATCATCTGTAATGTTTGTGGAGATATTTGGCTTCTATGCTACGCCATGCAGTTGTGCATGCATTTGGATTATTTGATCAAGATTTTGGAGCACTATGAGCCTCGTGTGGAACATCATTTAAGGGATACACAATTTATTGCAGGGTTTTCACAAAAACATCAAATTTTATTGAAGTAATTTTTCGATTTTCTATTTTCGTTGTTGGGATTAATGCTTTAAATCCTCTTAGCATTGCAGATGATGTCAACACGGTATTTGGTGTCCAACTGCTACTAATTTTGATATCCACTGCTGCCACAATTTGCTGTGCCGGCATTTACACCTTGACACAAGGTGTGGGGAAGGAACTGCTGGAGTACGTTGCCTTTCTGCCCTGTGTCGTTGGCCAGTACTATTTGATTTGCTTCTATGGCCAAAGACTTGTTTCGTCTGTGAGTTTAAAATATGAATCAAAGCTTCGAAATTTGGTATGTCAAAATATTATTTTTTTTAGAGTGAAAATGTGGGTGCAGCTGCCTACAATCATGCCTGGTACAATGGTTCGCCATCATATAAAAAATCAGTTTTAGTTATTATGACTCGCTCACAGAGGTCGATGAAATTGAAAGCCTATGGCCTTAGTTCTGTTAGTTTAGGATCATTTCGGATGGTAAGAAATTCTAAACAGATTTTTTGTAATTGGTGAATAATTTCGATGGATCAGGGAAGGGTCTTCTATACGCCTTAGTATATAAGAATATTTTTCAAAGGTCTCTTATTTTTAACGTTTTTTTTTTCAAGGATCTCCAAGCGTAGATTTTCAAAAAAAAATTGTTACGAATGACTATAGAGTTTTTTCTTAGGTGTATCAAGGCCAGAATCCTCCATTCTTTTCTAGGTTACTATCTTGTGATTTCAAGAAAAAGATTTCCAAGATAATTTTGCCGATGATTATTAGCAACAGAATCCAGGATTTTTAATATTTCAAGGATCATCAGAGAATCCCAGATTTATTAAAAACATCGTTTAAGGACTATCAGAGCCAATGTACATTTTCAATAACTATTTGAGCATGGAATACAAAAATATGTTAAGGGCTATTGGAGCCAGAATCTTTAATTTCCACAATATGTTTTCTAGGAATTTCTGAGTCAGAATCTTGGATTTTTTAAAAATATTTTTTTTTCAAGGACTTTCAAAGCTATCGAAACTTGAATATTTTTTAAAGACTATCATATTAAAATCCTGATTTCCCAAAATTCTGCATTTTTTAAATCCATAAAATTTTTAAATTATAATCCATATTTTTAAAGACTGGATTTTATATAATTGATTTTTCAAAGACTATTGGAGTCCGGTAGCTATATTTTGGGAGATTATCCTGGATTCAAAAAAATATATTTTTTAAAGACTATAGGATCAAAAAACCTTGGACTTTTAAATTTCTAGAGCCAGACTGTGCATTTATTTGTAACAAGGAGAAGGAAACGAGGGAGAGCCATAGTTACTTTTGAGTATATTCATAGAATCACTTTCTGAGTCGATTTATGCATGTCAGTCCGTCCATCCGTCCGTTCATGTATTCTTGTAAACAAAATGCAGGTCGCATTTATTATCCAATTGAGATCACATTTTTCAAACAATATTTGTTTGGCCCAAGGACGAACCCTATTGAAATTGGTGATAATCGGATCAGATTTGGATATAGCTTCCATATATCTTCAAGCGATTTTGGGTTGATTGTGCACTAAATGGCCAATATAAGTCCTAGTGACCTGAATTTTGGTAAATCCAACCAAATTCAGTTTAGAAGCAAGTATATCAAATTTGGGTTGCCCATATTCGACGGACCCATCTGGCAACGCCATAACTTTTGACAGTGATGTCACATCGCTTAATGACATACCGCGTTTGAAGCGTCAGTCCAAGCGGATTTTTACCATGAACCAATACACGCCACGCGAGCGCTCTGAAATAGTTGAAATTTAGGTAAGGCTCTTTCTAATCCGAAGAGGCCATATAAAAGACGACCACGGCGATCGGCCGAGAATATCGCTGCCGTACGAGCCAGTGTTAAGAGGTCCCCAAGAACATCCCAGAAACGCCGTTCTCAGCAGTTGGGCATGGCTCGGTCCACTTTACAACGGATTATTCGCATTGATTTGCATTTGTTCCCGTACAAAATTCAATTGACGCAAAGAATGTTGCCTGCGGACAAGCCTCGTCGATTGGAATCGGCCCAAAGAGCCCATAGGTCCGTCGAATATGGGCAACCCTGTAGATGTTTAAAAATTATTTTTCAAAGACTCTTGAGGCATAACCAAGGATTTTTTTGAGGAATGAGTATTTGAGGTTATATTTTGGGAAGGATTATCTGAGAACCTTTCGGGGGGTTTTGAAGAACAATTTTTAAATGATCATCAGAGTTGAAGTCATAGATTTTTTAGGAATATTCTACCGAGGACTTTTGGAGATACCTATTTTTAAGTTTTCTCCGATCCATCTCTCACCATTTTTTTTAAAAACCTCAAAAAATACAATTTTAAACATTTTTAGGTTATGAGTGAAAGTTATCGGTTTTTCGCTGTGCTTAAACATGCTGTTTTCGATAAGAAGAATTGATGGGCGAGAATGTTGGTTTGCTTTTAAATAAAATAAATAATTACATTTTTTACTATATTTTTTAACAATAAAATATTAACACTTTTCTTTAACACTTTCAATAAAGTGTTAATACTTTTCTGCTATGCTCTTTATGGTATCCAATATTTATATTTTCCAAAAAAAGCTATCAATTTCATGGGCAGGGATCTAATTATTATTTATTGGCTCTTGTTGGCACTTTGGTAAGTTTTTACTTCCCATGTTTAATCAAGGTCTTAGGATACTAGATAATTATTTATTGATGGCAAAATGCACGTTATAAAACCATAATTTTGTAATGAGATTTTGGTCTTCTGATTGTTGACCTATCTCCTTGTCTTCTGAACTTCGTAGTTATCTAGATTACAACATTTATAATATATATAAATGTATACCAAATAAATATACTCGTATACCATTTAGTACTTTTTATATACTACACATTTCCAAATCCATTTCCTTGCCCAATAGCTGCAAAGTGCTTATAATGATCCTAATACCAAAATTCATAATTCCAACTCTATTCCTACATTTCGTACCGAATTTAATACTTTTCATACATTGCATAGCAAGCAGTTACAAAAACTGCCCATTACCTGTCTCACAATGACCTTTGTAGTACGCTTTATATCCAATCCAAAGTACCATTAAGTTCCACAGGACAAAAATATATTTTGATCAAATCTACCCACCAGCAGTTTCAAGTTCTACACAATGCATTGTTTCTCCAATTCAACTGTGATGGTCTCCGAGGTAAGATCAACGAAATTGTAAGCTTCATGAATCGGAAGAACATCAAGGTCGCAGCGATCCAGAAAAAGGAAGTTGAGTACCACTTTCAGGCTTCAAAGTTGTGATGGATACAATGTATTGAGAAAGGATCGCACCAGAGGTGGAGAATTAGCGTTCATATTGCTCCAATCTGTCCAGTACAAACCTATCTCGCCTGAGCTTTACCCTAGTGACCCGTACGTGGAATGTCTTGGGGTAGTGGTCAAGTGTGGAATCGCCGAGTTAGAGTTGCTTAACGTGTAAAGTCCGCCGTTAAATAGTTGAGCCTCACGTTATATGTCCAATATCAGTTCACTTCTGGTAGGCTATAGACGTCTGGTGCTAGGGGATGTCAATTCCCATCATAGATACACATAAAAACCTCATTCGTCCTAGGTAATGACCAGAGAGGCATGGCGCTGGCTGAGCAAATCGCTAGCTTCACGTTTTGCACAGTGAATGAGGGCGCGCCAACCAGAATAAGGGGAGACTTTCACAGTTCGCTGGACATATCCATCGTTCGATTTCATAGACTCTGAACGCAGCAGTATCCTTAACCATGGGAAGGCCAATTGTCAAGAGTTCAGAGAATATACCAATCGCCGCTTCAGAGTACTGCCTATCCCATCTGATGTTCAGGTGGCAGATATATAGGAGTTATCTTCGAATGTGCAGGTCGATGGAGTTGTAATTCCGACCACCAGGTACCCCAAGGTCTTAGGGTCACATTCGATAGACTTTTCAAGTCGTCCGCTCATACCACAGCTATCTGTGATAAGTTTGAAAGTAGGAACAAGGTTCTCAAGTCTCTGGCCGACAGCACTTGGGGAGCTGACAAGGAAACCTTGTTGAGCTCTTACAACGCGATACGCCGGTCTGTGGTAAACTGTGGGGCTCCGGTGCAGTCCTGCCAGAATGCCTCCTCACGGTGCATTCTCCTCATGGTGCATGCCTCCTGGTGCATTCGGTGCGCCCTCAAGACACCTGTCGACCACCTACATGAGGAGGTGAAGGTCTAGCCGGTGCGACAGCATAAAAAATGCTGCCAATGCAATACCTACTTGGGTGTTACCGACAGAGCCATCCGAATCACCATCTGGTGCATAGGCAACCTCCGCCCAGGCACGTAAGGAAAAACCTTCATGATCTAGAGAGAGGGGTACAAAGGTATAAGGGAGAGCCTCTAGATCAACAGGCCTATCAAGCGGGACTGAATAGTATTCACTCTAACGCGGTCTCAGAAGTTATGGAAGGAGTGAATACTGTACTAGGACACTATCCCCCTCCCATCGCAGCTGAAGAGCAAGAGCTGCCCTGACAAACGGAGTAGTTTTGGCTCAATTAAGATCCGGATGGTGCAGCCGCCACAATTCCTATTGGGTCCGGATCGACAGCGATGTGCAGAACATCTGCCCAACTTTTGGCACAGGTCCACATGACACGCTGCACCTTTTTCGCTGTTCAGACAAACCTGCTCACCTTACTCCAGTCTCTGTACCCAACCCGTACAGGTTGCATCCTTTTTATACCCTCCACTATACTATGGAGGGTATATTAATTTTGTCATTCCGTTTGTAACTCCTCGAAATAGTCATGTCAGACCCAACAAAGTATATATATTCTTGATCAGCGTAAAATTCTAAGACGATTTAGCCATGTCCGTCTGTCTGTCTGTCTGTTGTAATCACGCTATCTATCGAACAAATTGAGATAGAAGGCTAAAATTTTGCACACATGTATATTTTGCCAGTAGGCAGGTTAAGTTCGTAAATGAGCCATGTAGGTCCAAGTTATCATATAGCCCCCATATAACGGCACCTCCCGATATTCGGTATTTTGATGATTTTAGAGACATTATTCACCGGAATTGTTTCAAATTTGGCACTTGAAGTTCGAAATGAATACTACAGCCTTAAACAGAAAATTATCTGTGCAGGTCCACGTCTTCGTGTAGCCCCCATATAACGGTACCCCCCGATATTCGGTATTTTGATGATTTTAGCGACATTGTTTACCGGAATTGTTTCAAATTTGGTATTTGAGGTTCGTAATGGATACTACATCCTAAGTCAAAAAATGAGTCATGGAGGTCCACGTCTTCATATAGCCCCCATATAGCGGTACCCCCCGATATTCGGTATTTTAATGATTTTAGCGACATTATTTACCGGGATTGTTTCAAATTTTGCATGTGAAGTTCGTAATGGATACTTCAGCCCATGCCAGAAAATTGTCTGTGCAGGTCCACGTCTTCGTATAGCCCCCATATAACGGCACCCCCCATATTCGGTATTTTGATGATTTTAGCTACATTATAAACAGATTTTAACAGAATTTTTAAGGGATTTATTTTTTTGTTTTTGGAAATTGCGAAATTTGTACCAAATGGTGGAGGATATTAACAGCTTTTTTACTGGCTGAGACTGGACTTAGAGGCAGAACCATTTGAGACCCTAGTTCCAAATTTAAGAATTCCAGCTCTATCTGTTTGTCTAATTTAATTTTTCTTTTAGCTGTTTCGTCTGGGTATTGATGAATCAGTCAGTCACTCGCTGAATGAAATATTTCCAAAATACATGTTTCGAAATGACCCGATACACATCAAAACCTCGATATTGACATCACCTTTCATATGAAGTTTGTAGAAAATAAATCGGTTCATGCATTCCACAGAACATCAATCACTAACAAAATGCTACTTTTTTTACACATAGGGACTAATGAAATAAATTTTATTGTAAATGTGTGATGCATACTTTTAGACTACAGGCATTAAATATTGCTTTCAATTATAGTACATTTACAGTTCGCATTATTTACTCCTACACACCCTCATTGACTTATCTTCTAAGGTTCAATATACTTTCTTCAGCCGTTTCGCCTCGATGTTGATGAATCAGTCAGTCACTGGCTCAGTGAAATATTTCCAAAATACATATGCCAAAATGAATGCAGTGTTCATTTAAACAGCTGTAACAAATTCTCCAATACACATAAAAACCTCGGTATTGACATCACATTTTATAAGGAGTTTGCAGAAATAAAATCGGTTCACGCTTTCTAGTGAACATCAATTACTAACACAATGTTACTATTTTTACACATAGATTACTGAAAAAATGTTATAGTAAATGTGTGATGCATACTTTTAGGCTACAAGCATTAAATATTGAATAAAATATTCAAATGCAACTTATTCATTTAATTCATAATAAAAACTTGAAATATTTTAAATTGGGTAAAATTGATTCGTTCTAACAGTTTTCCCATCCCATATGTTTGTTTTTATTTCGATTCCATGATAGTGCTCCATATGGCAAACAATTGATATGTCATACGCATAACCTAAAAAAAACCAAAAAATAATAAAAAAAAAACTAAATTCCTTCGACACCATTCACTTACCGACTCAAAGGCCATTAAATTAGTTGTTTGAAAACCGCCAGCATTGATTTCACTGTGGCGTTGAGCCCGACGCATAATGGTTAATATGGATTTTTTATAACTTTGTGAGCCATTGTACCAGGTTTGGCTATAGGCCGCCTCACTTACCCTTAAACTCTAAATGTCAAATGAGATTTTTGAATTTATATAAACAGGGTGGGATGAAAAAACTGCAACCAACTTCAGACTGCTGTCATTTCTGTCTGGAAAACCACAATTGGCTGTCGTTAGAACACTCCAGCATTTAATTGTGAATAAATCTTTTGTGCCTCGTACCATTGCTCGTTACCGTGATACTGGTAGCGTAGCGCGACCTCAAGGAAGTGGACGGAAGAAAAAAGCAACATCAGCAGAAATGGTGCGAAAAGCAAAGAAGCGACTTGATCGAAACTCGCGTCGTCGCAGTGACCGAAAAATGGCTCGTGAGCTGAACATATCGCAATATTCCATTCGACAATTATTGAAAAATGAGCTCGGGATAAAGCCATTGAACTTCCAAAAAGTGCAAGAACTTACACCGCAACAGCAACAGAAATAAAATAGACTCAAAAGAGCTAAAGAGTTGCTTCGTTTGGCCGAAAGTGGTGAACTGCCGAATTTGGTTTTCTCCGATGAGAAAACATTCTTTGTCCAGCAGTTTGTAAACAAACCAAATGATCGTGTTTAATTGCCAAAGAGGTCAGCTAAAAATGTGCACCTTCGGTTGGCCACCAGAACTCAAGCGCCGGCCATGATGATTGTGTGGGCCGCCATAACAGCCGATGGTAGCTCTCCGCTCGTATTAATCGACCGTGGCAACAGGGCAACAGAATAAATGCCGAATATTATCGCGAAAATATTCTGGAGGGTGTTGTAAAGCCTTGGGCACGCAAAGATTTTGGCCGCAGACCTTAGACATTCCAACAGGAACATCAGCAACATCGCACTCAGAAACCTACCCCCCAATAATGGTTACAAAATGAGGTTCCCCGCCTCATTTCCAGCGCACAATGGCCACCAAAATTTCCGGATACTAATCCGTTGGATTATTGTGTCAGGATTATTTTGTAAAGCAAGGTTGGCACAAAAAAAGTCGATCAAGCCTTCGCCGGGAATGGGTCAAAATACCGGAGAGCAACATTCGGGCAGCGTTTCATTGGCCGTTTGAAGGCCATAATTCATGCCAAAGGTGATCAATTCGAACAAATCTAAACTTATTCTAAAAGTTGATGCTATTTCCGACATTTTTTGTTTTCATTCAATAAAATTAAAAAAAAAAAATAAATAAAAAATTATGGGGTTTGACTTTGTTGCAGTTTTTTTTTATCTCACCCTGTACTTATTCGTTTTTTTTTTTAATCCTAGTACCTTATTGATAATTAATTGCCCATAGTAGCAGACCATAAAGAACTGGCCAACACTGGTGGGTACATAGGCCAAATAACCAATAACATGAGTTGTTATACCTTGGGTCAGTACCAATTCAGCTGCCCCAAAAAGCATTGAGATAGTTGAGAATAACATAACCAGAATCAAGGCGCTGAAGTTTATCTTCAATTCATCTGCTAGCCTGGAAGAAAAAAAAATTGTGAAAATATGGTTAAATGAAATTTGATTTTGGAACCAAAAAAATAAATTTTCCCTTAAGTTCCGGAAAATCAACTTAAGTTCCATTAATTTATGTTGATATTTTAGACCGATTGTAACTTTTACATTTGTTCGAAATGTGTACTTACTCTAATATAGTCTGATGTTTTCTAACCAATCCTGCCAGTACTTTTTCGTCGTCCTGTGATCTCTCCTTGTGGGGTTCGTAGTTTTCCAAGGTTCGAGAAATATAATCGAAATGCATGCAGAGTTGCAAAGCAAAGGCGACGAGCCAAATATCTGTACATATCATCCAAATGGCGGAATACAGAGCATTCATGACGTCCAGAGAATACGAAACAACATACCCCAGGAAATTGTGATGACCAAAGCCATACGATGTCTCCTCATACATTCTATAGTAACCGAATTTAGCATTCCCATAACCCAGGCTGATTAGGGCTCCTACATATTCGAAAATCGATTCAGCAAAAGGCACAAAAAGTATTATTGTCAGGGCACACAATTGCATATAGAGTATGGTTGTAATCCATTTGGGCCAATAATACTCATCCACACGATAGGCCAAACGATCCTCCATAGAGATGGGAAAAATGTCGCCAAATTTCTTGTACAACTTTTTAATTGATCTCGAATTACGAATGAAAAAATAACTCTTAAGAATTCCAACCACATTGTGGACAATATCATCGATCAGCCGTAGAAGCAATGGCAAATCTTTTGCTCCGACAGCCAATTCGGCCACAGCAAAATCCAATGCAAAATAAGTGAAATACGAACAACACATTAGACACAGTACGAAATATAACGTCAAGAGCATCCTTAGCCACCGCGGACGTGGCTGGTCGAGAAAGTCATAACCCAAAGTTTTCAGCAATACACAGGGCAGCTTAGCCAGATCTGCAAAGGTCCGCTCTTTTGTTGTCATTTTTTGAAGAAAAAACCTGAAAAGAGGGCTACGGGAATATTAATATCAGTTTGAAAATATACTTACAACAAGAATACCTAGCTTTGAACCTGCACTGCAAACTTTACTTCCTTTAAGGATTGGTGATGCCTTAATATCTAGCCATGGTCAAATCTTTGTACTATGATGATGGAGGTATATAATTGTATAAAATTACAGGATACATTGGAAAATTACTTAATAATCGTTTTAATGAAGTTGGTATATTCTTATGAGTGAAGCATTAACCGCAAGCTCAGGAAATATTCATAGATGTTGGAATAGAGGTTTAAATGCAAAGATATGCCGGGTGGAAAGAGTTTTCCTACACCGCGAGAAATGCCACAAAATCTCCATAGTAAACAAAAGTTTTGTAGGCCTTCTACAGTTAAGTTCCTTTTTATAAGGCTTATTTGGAGAGGAGACCTTCAATTTTTAAATACAATTTCGATTGTAACTTTTGAATTTGTTTGAAATGTGTACTTACTCTAATATAGTCTGATGTTTTCTAACCGTTCAATTTCTTTAAAATCTTTATAGAGCTTTGGGTTTTTATACCCTACAACACTATGTGTTGGGGTATTATAAGTTTGATTGGACAAAAAAGTATGTAACACCTCGAAATATTGATTTCCCACATAGGAAAGTATGTATGGATCTTCCTATCTCGCCGAGCTGAGTCGATCTAGCTATGTATGTCCGTCTGTCCGTCTTGTCCATGTTAATTTGTAATCACTCTACAGGTCGCAATTATAGACCGATCCTCACGAAAATGAAAATGGAGGTGGGGTTATGATCAGAATAGAACCCTATTGTTTTTGGAGATTATCGCATAATATTTAGTGGTTAGACCAAAAACTGAAAAATTTCCTGATTTTGCAATTATGGATCAATTGAAGCGGAAGTTAGCATGGAGCTAGAGCTTGGGAGTGCTAGAAGTCTTCCAATTTTGATAATCATCGGGTAATATTTAGTGGGTGAAATAGACCATAACATTTGTGTTAAATAAAAGTCAAATTTTCCATTAAAACGCGAATATTTTTAATCCCGACGAAATCACAAACAGACGAACAGGTCAATTCTTACCGTTACGTCGATGCCGACAGTTAATGTATCGGATATATATAGCGAAATATATACAATGTGTATATACAAAGGAAGGGGATTTTAGCTATAATGCTTTTATCTCAAGTATGGATGGACCGATTTTAACAAAAATTGTCAATTCAGAATGCCCTCTTGGCATAAAAGTATAAAATCTAAAAAAATCGCTTAAAAAGATTTCAATATTGATGTTAATATAGGTTTTGTAGTATTTTGTGAATTTTTTTTATTTTTTCACATTTTTATCGCATGCGATTTTTTTGAATTTGACTTATAATATTAAAGTGTACATTTTGTAATATTTCGGTGACGAATATAGCCAAATATCGTAGACAAGCAAATCATTTAGATGACTCTAAATTTAGAGATACAGAGGGGCATCTTAATTTTGGAGATGATTGTAAAATATTTAGGGGTTCAAATGAACCAAAAACAGAAAAAAATTCCTGATCACACAATTGAAGCCAATCGACACGCCTGAGAAAAGCGTTAAGTACAGGGAAGGATTCTAGCATTTTGGATGGAAAATGACCACAACAACTAACAGCATGACGGAGTGCTTCAATATTGGGCAAATGTCTCTAGTCAATGTCTCGTGACATAATTTCAAAAGCGAAATCTTCCAAAATCGATCTGGATATAAGGGGGCTTCTAACATATTGTAGTGTTGTAGGGTATCACATGGTCGGCCCCGCACGACTATAGCCTTTGCTTACTTGTTACAGGATTATAGGAACGTAACAGAGTATATAAATAAGTTTTGAACAATAATTCCCTCGCATCTTTATGGAATACAAGCCTGTTCCAATAAAATCCTTTCTGTTACAGAATTAATGTTGTTCCCAACCAGGGCTGCAATATTTACCGATTTATTGGCACTTACAAATTATTTCAAAAAGAATCAACCGAAATTCTGAATTTACTTAACAAAATGGAGTTACTTTTCAACATTTTGAGTCATTTCATCAAACAGAGTGTTATACGAAATAGTGCTGTGCATGTAGGATTATTCTTCCATTTATGGATTTAGTTCAAAGAGAGATCTAGGGTCTAAAATCGTTATTTCGATGGGGCACCTTTTTTGCGGTATCGAATGATATATACCCCCGGTAGCCATATGGCTAAAGGTTTGACAGCAGACATTCGCTCTGAGGCATTTTTAAGGCGAAACTTAGATCTCAGTTTTGAAAACATTACTTTCAATTTCAAAAATCCGACTTTGTCAAATAATAAGGTAACATTGTTATAAATCATAAGCTATGCTCAGAAGTTCTCTCTCGAATTCGAGTGAAAAGTTAAATTCGATCGAATTCGAGCAGGAGTGCTACTGCGTGTGAAAAAATATATATGCAGAATTCTTCTTCATGCGACTCGAAAAAAAACGAGTATGCTTTGTCTATTTTCGAGTGGGAGTAAACTTCGTTCGAAATCGATTCGTTGATTCTACTCTTGTATATTTTGCAAACAGGAGAGCCCTCATATATAAAAGAGTTCAGAGTAAATTTATTGTAAATCTCGTACTTTTGGGTGTTCCATCGTGCGAGAATTCTTCAGTCGCGATTAAAATCGAATCAATCGGATATTTAGTTATACCCTCAGCCATATGGCTACAGAGGGTATATATCATTTGATACGGCTAAAACGTGCTCCATATGGCTACGGAGGGTATGTATCATTTGATACGGTCAAAACGTGCCTCATCGAAATTACGGTTGTAGACCCTAAGTCTCTTTGAACCAAATCCGTTTCGGGAAATTTGGAGTCGATCTAGCGACGTCCGTCCGTCTGTCTGGCTGGCTCTCGAAGACAGTATCCGATTTGGTCCAAACTTGGTACATCGTAATATTATTATCAAACTTAGATCGAGTTCGGAGATGGGCAATATGGGTCCACTACTTCTGGTACCTCAAAATAATATTTTACTGCACAGAAAGAGGAAGGATAATCCGATTTCGCTCCCACTTCGACACTGAAATTGTCCTGCACGCCATCGGCTCACCTAGAAAAGGTTCAATACAGGAATTATTTGTTCATTTGTTCAGTTGAACCTTACATTTTACACCCTCTACCTTAAAATAAAAGGTAATTATATTGAGGATTCCATTTACAAAACCTCGGAATATTCGAAGACCCGATAAAGTACATACAGGGTGAGATGAAAAACTACAACCAACTTCAGATTTTACTGCACAGAAAGAGGAAGGATAATCCGATTTCGCTACCACTTTGCGAATCCCAATATTTGCATCAGTGCTACGTCAGGTGCGAAAATAGACAATATCGGTCCACTCCTTCTGGTACCTGCCCACAAGGGGTCAACATTTTGAATAATTCTAACATTCATATAATGTGATGTAAGAGCTCGATTGCCTTGAAATTACACACATCATAATATTTTTAGTAACCCAAGGTCTGGTGTGAAGATGGAATATATCGGTCCACTCCTTCTAGTACCTCCCCAAAATAGGGTAAAAATTTTGAATATCAATGTCAAATCTTTCAGACTTGGCACATCTCAATATTTCCATCAACTTAAGATCTGTTATAAAGATGGTAGAGATCGGACCTTTCCTTCAGGTACCTCCCCCACAAAGGGTCACAGTTTTGAAAAACCAAAACCAAAACGAACTTCTAGTATGGACTTTAAGGTAATTTCATTGGCTACAAACATCAAAATACCGAATATCATGGGGTACCGTTATATGGTTGCTATACGATATCGTGGACCGATATAGCCCATCTTCGAAATTGAGCTGCCTGCAGACAAAAGACTGATCAGTGCAAAATTTTAGCTTCCTATCTTTATTCGATTTGACTCTAGCGTGATTACAATATATATACTTTGATGATCAAGAATATATATACTTTGTTGGGTCTAAACAGTTTATGGTTAATTGTTGCTCCAACCTACAAATACAGGGTTGCCCATATTCGACGGACCCATCTGGCAACGCCATAACTTTGGACAGAGATGTCACATCGCTTAATGACATACCGCGTTTGAAGCGTCAGTCCAAGGAGATTTTTACCATGAACCAATACACGCCTCAAGAGCGCTCTGAAATAGTTGAAATTTCCATTCAACAGAAGAAGTCAATTGTGAAAACTCAACGTGGTTTTAAAACATTAAAAAATGTGAGAAGTGCGCCTTCTAAGAACACCTTTAAGCGTTTATACGAAAAATTTTCAACTGATAAGGCTCTTTCTAATCCGAAGAGGCCATATAAAAGTCGACCAGGGTGATCGGCCGAGCATATCGCTGCCGTACGAGCCAGTGTTGAGAGGTCCCAAGAACATCCCAAAAACGCCGTTCTCAGCAGTTGGGCATGGCTCGGTCCACTTTACAACGGATTATTCGCATTGATTTGCATTTGTTCCCGTACAAAATTCAATAGACGCAAAGATTGTTGCCTGCGGACAAGCCTCGTCGATTGGAATGGGCCCAAAGGTCCGTCGAATATGGGCAACCCTGTACAGGTCTTCTTCGTTTTGAATTTGAACTCAGAAGCAGAACCAGATGAATCAGTATGAACATCAGTAGTTTTTAATGTAATTATTTTATTCAAATTTTTTTTTTTTTATATTTCTGATATTAAGGTGCAAATAATATGGCAAATTATGTGAATAAAAATTTAAAGATTTTTAATAAGGTAAACATTATCGTGTCTCAAGAATAAAATGTATTTAGCTTGTAGTAAAAATGTCTATTTTGATGACGTCATAGTACTCCATATTGCAAACAATTGATATGTCATGCGCATAACCTTAAAAACAAAAGCAAATTCAATACCAATTCCAAAAAGTCACCCAATCAAACAAAAACTTACCGACTCAAAGGCCATTAAATTGGTTGTTTGAAAACCGCCAGCATTAATTTCACTGTGACATTGAGCCCGACGCATAATGGTTAATATGGATTTTTTATAACTCTGACAGCCATTGTACCAGGTTTGATTATAGGCCGCTTCACTTACCTGCAAACTCTGAATGGAAAATAAAAATTCAAAAATGTTTTGGAATCCTTTTTCAATTTCGCTTAATACCTTATTGATAATTAATTGGCCATAATAGCAGATCATATAGAATTGCCCAACACCGGTCGGGACAAATGCCAAATAGCCTAGAACATGGGCTGTTATACCTTGAGTTATAACCAATTCGGCAGCACCGAACAGAATGGACGCGGTCGAAAATAGCATAACCAAAATCAGGACACTGAAATTTTCCTGCACGTCATCGGCTAACCTAGAAAAGGTTCAATACAGGAATTATTTGTTTATTTTGAATAGTTGAACCTTACATTTTACACCCTCTACCATAAAATAAAAGGTAATTATATTGAGGATTCCATTTACAAAAACTCGGAATATTCGAAGACCCGACAAAGTACATACAGGGTGAGATGAAAAAACGGCAACCAACTTCAGACTGTTGTCATTTCTAAGCCACTCGTCCGACAGCTGTTCAAAATTATTCCAGTGACAGCACATTTTATTGTTTACAAGCGTACAAAAGCATTTTGGTGAGCATTTTCCAAAATAAAACTTCTTTGTGATGGAATTCAAGCGTGATAGTATGATTTCTTTATATTTGGCTGGAAAACCACAAGTGGTTATCGTTAGAGAACTCCAGCATTAAAATGTGAATAAATCTTTTGTGTCTCGTACCTATCGCTCGTTACCGTAATACTGGTAGTGTAGCCCGACGTCAAGGAAGTGGACGGGAGAAATCAGCAACATCAACAAAAATGGTTCGAAAAGTAAATAAGCGACTTTGGCTTTTGAGCTGATCATATCGCAATATTCCATTCGGAAAAATTAGAAATTAAAAAAGTGCAAGAACTTACACCGCAACAGCAACAGAAAGAAAATAGACTCAAAAAAGCTAAAGAGTTGCTTCGCTTGGCCGAAAGTGGTGAACTGCCGAATTTGGTTTTCTCCGATGAGAAAACATGCGTTTTCCAGCAGTTTATAACCATACAAACTGATCGTGTTTGCTTGCCAAAGAGGTCAGGTGAAAATGTGCACCTTCGGTTGGCCACCAGAACTCAAGCGCCGGCCATGGTGAAGATGTGGGCCGCCATAACATCCGATGGTCTGTCTCAGCACGTATTAATCGAATGCGGCATCACAATAAATGCCGAATATTATCGCGAAAATATTCTGGAGGACTACTACATTTACAGCGCACAATGGGCACCAAAATCTCCTGATACCAATCCCTTGGACTATTGTGTCTGGAGTATTTTGGAAAGCAAGGTTGGCACTGAAAAATACCAAAGTGTCGATCACCTCAAGCAAGCGCTTCGCCGGGAATGGACCAAAATAACGTAGAACAACATTCGGACAGCGTGTGACGGTTTCATTGAAGGCCATAATTCGTGCCAAAGGCGGCCAATTCGAACAAATCTAAACTTATTGCTATTGATGCTATTTCCGACATTTTTGCTTTCATTCAATAAAATTGAAAAAAAAAAAATTAAAACTTTTGGCGTTTGACTTTGTTGCAGTTTTTTATCTCACCCTGTATTAAATCTTTTATGGCCATAAGTTAAGTTTTCATATATAGGAGGTTATAAACCCGACCGAAACTGCTGTAATTGTTTTTCTTTTCAACTTACTTCAATACTGTCTGATGTTTTCTAACCAATTCTGCCAGGACCCTCAAATCCTGTGCAGCTCTCTTCTTAGACGGTTTGTAGTTTTCCAAAGTCCGGGAAACATAATCGAAATGCATGCAAAGTTGTATAGAAAATGCCACCAGCCACACATCCGGACCCATCATCCAAACCGTACAATAATGTCCATTCATAATGTCCATCGTATAGACGATGATATAGCCCAGCGGGTTATAATGATTAATGCCATAGGTTGTCTCCGGATACATTCGATAATAACCAAACTTGGCATTGGCATAACCAACCGTTAGTAGGGCTCCAAAGTATTCATAGACTGCTTCAACAAATGGCAAAAACAGAATTATAGAAAGGGCAAACAATTGCATATAAAGTATCGTCGTTATCCATTTGGGCCAATAATAGTCGTTCACGCGATATGCCAGACGATCTTCCCGAGAAATCGGGAAAATGTCGCGAAATCTTTGCAACAAACTTTTAAGAGACTTCAAGTTGCGAAAGAAAAATAAACTTTTTACAATGGCCGCAACATTGTAAATCACATCAACGCTGAGACGTAAAACCAGTGCCAGATCATTGGCTCCCGCAGCTATTTCGGCCATCATAAAATCCCATGCAAAATATGTGAACCAAGCACAAAATATCAGACACAGAACCAAATACAGCAGCATCAAGGCCCTTAGCCACAATGGACGGGGTTTGTCGATAAAATCATAGCCAATCGTCCTCACCAAGACGCATGGTAGTTTTACAAAATCATCAAAGTACAGTTCTTTTTCCGCTGTTTTCAAAGCAGAAGAGGAGAACTGAAAGAAAAAGAAAATACTGATATTTATTAATATATCCTTACTTAAGGTAGTACCTTGACTTTTACCGCGGTAACCTTCATTTCCTTTCAAGGATTGAAGACAATATAAAAACTGGGGAATAAAATACTTTCTTTTACCCTTTGTCCCTTTGAAACTACATCATTATTGTAGAAGAAATAGGGAATAATTTATTATTCTTAAAGGCATATTTTATTAACTTATTTTCTATTTCATGACAAACCGCAAGATTGACAAGAAATGCAATTAAGCCGTGTCAATAAGCTAATTCTTCCGTCATTAGGTATATTGCATTCAATACGTTCAATGAAGTGCAACACCCAATAAAGAAGGAAGAGTACAGTTTACAGGTCTTCTATAAAAATAAGACCTCTTATAGACTTCCGTGACTGGGTTGTTGATTTAAGGCAGAGATGCGAAATACTCATTCGAATTCGATTAAAAAATGAAACTCGTTCGAATTTGGACGGGTAGTCATGCGAGTAAAAAATAACTTGAATAAATTCTCGACATTGAGCAGGTTGTACCTTTTTATACCCTCCACCATACTATGGAGGGTAAATTAACTTTGTCATTCCGTTTGTAACTCCTCGAAATACTCATGTCAGACCCAACAAAGTATATATATTCTTGATCAGCGTAAAATTCTAAGACGATTTAGCGATGTCCGTCTGTCTGTCTGTCCGTCTGTCCGTCTGTTGTAATCACGCTATCTTTCGAATGAATTGAGATAGATGGCTAAAATTTTGCACACATGTTTATTTTTCTAGTAGGCAGGTTAAGTTCGTAAATGGGCCATGTAGTTCCACGTTTTCATATAGCCCTCATATAATGGTACCTCTCGATATTCGGTATTTTGATGATTTTAGCGACATTATTCACCGGAACTGTTTCAAATTTGGTATTTGAAGTTCGTAATGGATACTAGAGTCTATGACAGATATTCCATTCGGCAAATATTGAAAAATGAGCTCGAGATAAAGGCATTGAATTTGCAAAGAGTGCAAGAACTTACACCGCAACGGAAAGAAAATAGACTCAAAAGAGCTGAAGAGTTGCTTCACTTGGCCAAAAGTAGTGAACTGCCGAATTTGGTTTTCTCCGATGAGAAAACATTCGTTGTCTAGCCGTTTGTAAACAAACAAAATTATCGTGTTTACTTGCCAAAGAGGTCAGTTGAAAATGTGCACGTTCGGTTGGCCACCAGAACTCAAGCGCCGGGCATGGTGATGGTGTGGGCCGCCATAACAGCCGATGGTCGCTCTCCGCACGTATTAATCGACCGTGTTATCGTAATAAATGCCGAATATTATTGCGAAAATATTCTGGAGGATGTATTAAAGCGTTGGGCACGCAAACATTTTGGCCGCGAACCTTGGACATTTCAACAGAACTAAGTACCATCGCACTCAGCACACGCCACCCAAGAATGGTTACAAAATGAGGTTCCTTGCTCTGTTTCCAGCGCACATGGCCACCAAAATCTCCGGATACCAATCTGTTGGACTTTTGTGTCTGGAGTATTTTAGAAAGAAAGGTGGACACTAAAAAATACCAAAGTGTCGATCAGCTCAAGCAAGCGATATTCGGGCAGCGTGTGACTGTTTCATTGGCCGTTTGAAGACCATAATTCGTGCCAAAGGTGACCAATTCGAACAAATCTAAACTTATTCTACAATTTGATGCTGTTTCCGACATTTTTTGCTTTCATTTAATAAAATTAAAAAAAAAAATGTAAAAAATTAAGGCGTTTGACTTTGTTGCAGGTTTTTGTTTATCTCACCCTGTATTCACCCAATATCAAATTTTACCGAATATAGTACTATTTAGTACTTTTCGTACAATTATAGTACACATTTCTAAAAGCACCTCTGTACACAAACCTACCACCAACAGCGATCCCAATTATAACTTCATACTTTTAAAATTATAACTTCATCCGTTCACCCTAAGCCGAACTTTTCCATTTAGTACAGTTCGCACGTATAGTATACATTTTCAAAACCACCTTCATGTAAGAAATTTACTTTCGAACCTTGATTGTAATACCAAATTTCAAGTTCACATAGTACCAAAGGTACGATTTTAGAAATTTAGCACCATTTTAGAGCCTTTCAGAGCCTTATAGTTCGAATATCCAAAAACCCTTTGGTACAGACATCCTGCACTCCATCAGTAACTCTCATTTCAAGTTTCAGAATTCTTCCTCATTTCGTTTGTATTAAATTTTTAGTACTTTTCATACACTTTTAATAAGAATTTCCTAAAACCCTAGTGCAAAATTTCATTTTCGAAGGAAAATTTGCTAAACGCTCATGAAATATAAATTTTATATTACAAAAGAATGTTTTTTATTTATTCATTCGGACGAGTACATTTAAACCTTATATGTATACATATCTAGTTAAATACAAATATTAAAGGATCAACAATTACTTCGGTTCCATTAGGGTACGCCATACGGCAAACAGTTGAAATGTCATTCGTATAACCTAAAAAGAAAACTTAAATTCTAAAATGGATTCAGCAAATTTATATCCAAACTTTACCCCCTCAAACGCCTTTAGGTTCGTCGTTTGAAATCCACCTGCATTAATTTCACACTGAGATTGTGATCGACCCAAAATTGCCAATATAGATTTCTTATAGCTTTGACAACCGTTGTACCAGGTTTGACTGTAGGCCGCATCACCAATTCGTAAACTCTAGAGGAAGGAAAATTAAAAAAAAAATGTCTTCTATGGTGCCTTCGTGTTGCAAAATAATTATTACCTTATTGATAATTAATTGGCCATAATAGCAAACCATAAAGTATTGTCCCAGCGTTGTGGGTAGAAAAGCCAAATAGCCAAGAACATTGGAATTGATTCCTTGGGTTAGAACATAAACAGCTGCACCGAAGAGAGTTACCACAGTTGAAAATAGCATGATGAGAACCAGTATGTTGAAGGTTTTCCTTAAGTCATTGGCAAGACTGGAAGTTGAGAATATTTTTATATAAAATTTGGTTTGAAAGTGTGTAGTGCTTAATATTTAATATTCATAGGTCAGGTGAGAAAAGGGACGAAATCGATTTACTCTTTCTGGTACCTTCCCCACAAAGAATGAACATTCTTTAGGAAAAATGGTTAATTTTTTTAAGAAAAAAGATAAAACAGTCGAGGACATCTCCTGAAAATTGCTGAAGAAAAATTGTGAATTTTCATGAATTTAAGACCTAATAATCTTAGATTTTTGGAGAACAAATTGTGAAGATTTTATATCCTCCACCATTCTATGGAGGGTATATTAGCTTTGTCATTCCATTTATAACTCCTCGAGATATTCATGATAGACCTTACTAAGTACAGGATGAGAAGAAAAAACTGCAACCAACTTAAGACTGCTGTAAAATTATTCCAGTGACAGCTCATTATATTGTTTACGAGGGTACAAAAGCACTTTGGTGAGAATTTTTCAGAAAAAAAGTTATTCGTGGTGGGATTTAAGCGTGATAGTGTGATTTCTCTATATTTGACTGGAAGACCACAAGTGGCTATCATTAGAGCACTCCAGCATTTAAATGTGAATAAATCTTCTGTGTCTCGTACCATCGCTCGTTACCGTGATACTGGTAGCGTAGCCCGACGTAATGGAAGTGGACGGAAGAAAACCGCAACATCAGCAGAAATGGTTCGAAAAGTATGGAAGCGACTTGAATGAAACCTGCGCCGCAATGGCTGAAAAATGGCTCGTGAGCTAACCATATCGCAATATTCCATTCGGCAAATATTGAATCATATTAATCCAAATATTGAATCATATTGTACCATATTATTATTGTAACAAACCCTAGCCAGTCAGACATACGGACGGACACCCCTAGATCGACTACAAATGTCCTAAAGTGGATTTGGTCCAAAGAGAGCTAGAAACCAAAAACCGCTTTTTCGATGAAGCACGATTTGGCCGTATTAAATCAGCCATATGGCTGAAGGTATAACTAATGAGAGACAGACAGAATCAGTTAGAAAAAAATACTACTTACTCCAATAAAATTTGATGTTTCTTAACCAATTTCGCCACAACTTCCAAGTCCTTGTGTGATCTTTCCTCTTTGGGTTCATAGTTTTCCAGATTCCTTGAAATGTAATCGAAATGCATGCATAGCTGTATGGCATAGGCAACCAGCCATATGTCGGGACATATATTAAATATTACCGCGTATTGAGTGCCCATAGCCAGCACTGAGTAGATAAATATGTATCCTGTAGGCCTCTGATGATCCACGATATATGTATGTTCTTCATACAATATATGATAACTAAATTTCGCATCGGCAAATCCAAATTTCAATATGGCCAAAAAGTAATCCTTTAATGTTGCAGCAAATGGTGAAAATATAATCACAGCAATGGCACCACATTGCACATACACCATGCACGTAATCCATCGGGGCCAATAGTAGTCATTGACACGATATTCCCGACGATCTTCCATGGAAATGGGAAAAATTTCACAAAATCTATTGAACAAACTTTTATTTGATTTCCAAATACGAAAGAAATAATAACTTTTAAGTAACCCATTGAGACTGTGAAAAATGTCGTCGACGAGGCGTAGAATCAATGGTAAATTTCCTGATCCACAGTGGATTTCTCTCACAGCCATTTCCATCACAAAATAAGTGCAATAGAGACAGGAGAGCAACGAGAGAACAAAATACAGCTGCATAAGGCACTTTGCCAGCAATGAGCGGGATATATTGAGAAAATCAATGCCCAGTGTTCTCAGCAACGCACAGGGCATATTTACAAAATCCTCAAAGTAACGTTCTGTTGTAGCCATTACGGTCAATGGTTGTTGAAAACTGAATACATTTTTCTTTTTTTCATTTTCTCATTGTTATTATTTTCACTCTCCATCCATTCGGTGCTCTGATCGTATTTACCTTTAATTGTTGTCATTTTAATATATCCTCTGTTGACCTCAAATCCTTCTATTTACACTTTGATTCAATGAAAAATACAACAAGTTAATTGCCACATTATTAAACGGACAATTAGGTTAATAACCAAATAAAATAATTATGATGTCTGTATAAATTTAACCAGTGTTTTGTCTTTTAGCCAGGATTTGTCAAGCAAATACATTTATAAAACGTTTCGCGCCCATTTCATTGAAAATATTGTCACCAGGTGAAAATAGCTCTGTTGTTATGATACCATAACCACATAGTTACCAATTTAGCTATTTTAAACGGCTAAGACAATGTGCAATTACTTGGGAAGGTCTATGGAATAGAATTTCGAAACCATTTTTTTTTGGATTATTCAAACTTTTATTTGTCATTGTTTCTATAATTATGTTTATACCCTACACCACTATGTGTTAGGGGTATTATAAGTTTAATTGGGCTAAAAATTATTTAACACCTCGAAATATTGGTCCTCAATGTCGGAAAATATATATGGATCTTTCTATCTGGCCGAGCTGAGTCGATCTAGCTCTGTATGTCCTTCCGCCTTAATTATAGCCCGATTCTCACGAAATTGAAAATGGAGGTGGGGATTGGGTCAGAAGAGAAGCCTATTGTTTTTGGAGGTGATCTCAAAATATTAAGGGGTTAAATAGACCAAAAACAGAAAAATTTCCTGATTTTGAAGTTGCTCTACAAGCCACAATTAGGAACCAATCGACGCGGAATTTTGCATGGAGTTGGGACTGGGAAGAAATCTACCAATTTGGAAGGTAATCGGGCAATATTTAGCGGGTAAAATAAGCTATAACTTTTATGTCAAAAAATACGAACATTTCCAACATTTTCATTTCATTTAATTTTTAACCTCGTCCAAATCATATATACAGGGTGAAATAAAAAAAGCTGCAACAAAATCAAACGCCATAATTTTTACATTTTTATATTTTTTAATTATTTTATTGAACAAAAGCAAAAAATGTCGGAAATAGCATCAAATTTCAGAATAAGTGTAGATTTTTTCGAATTGGTCACCTTTAGCTCGAATTATGGCCTTCAAACGCCCAATGAAACCATCACACGCTGCCCAAATGTTGTCCTGCGCTATTTTGGTCCATTCCCGGCGAAGCGCTTACATGAGGTGATCGACACTTTGGTATTTTTTAGTGCCAATCTTGTTTTCCAAAATATTCCAGACACAATAGTCCAGCGGATTAGAATCCGGAGATTTTGGTGGCCATTGTGCGCTGGAAATGAAGCGAGGACCCTCATTTTTTGGTGCTGTGTTCTGTTGGAATGTCCAAGGTCTGCGACCAAAATGTTTGCGTGCCCAAGGCTTTAAACCTCCAGAATATTTTCGGCATTTATTCAAATGCCACGGTCAATTAATACGAGCGGAAAGCAACCATCGTTATGGCGGCCCACACCATCACCATGGCCGGCGCTTGAGTTCTTTTGGCCAACCGAAGGTGCACATTTTCAGCTGACCTCATGGGCAAGTAAAGAGATCATGTTTTTTGTTTACAAACTGCTGGACAACGAATGTTTTCTCATTGGCGAAAACCAAATTCGGCAGTTCACCACTTTCGGCCAAGCAAAGCAACTCTTTACCTCTTTTGAGTCTATTTTCTTTCTGTTGCGGTGAAAGTTCTTGCATTTTTTGAAATTTCAATGACTTTACCCCGAACTCTTTTTCCAATATTTGCTGAATGGAATATTGCGATATGTTCCGTCCACGAGCCATTTTTCGGCAACTGCGACGTGGGTTTCGATCAAGTCGCCTCTTTACTTTTCGAACCATTTCTGCTGATGTTGCTGTTTTCTTCCGTACACTTCCTTGACGTCGGGCTACGTTACCAGTATCACGGTAACGAGCGATGTTACGAAACACAGAAGGTTGATTAAATAAAATCGAAGAAAATCGCGTAAAAGTACGACAATAAAATATTTTTGTTAAATGTTTTTCATTTTTTTATCGCATGCTATTTTTTTTAATTTGACTTAAAATTTTGAATTTTACATTTTGTAAAGTTTTTCCGCATACCACAACACTATGTTTTAAGGTACTATATATGTATATATATACTATATATATATATATATATATATATATATATATATATATATATATATATATATATATATATATATATATAAATTTAAATTTTGAATTTTACATTTTGTAAAGTTTTTCCGCATACATACATATACATATATATAGATACATACATATACATATATATATATATATATATATATGTATATATATATATATATATATATATATATATATATATATATATATATATATATATATATATATATATATATATATATATATATATATATATATATATATATATATATATATATATATATGTGTGTGTGTGTGTATATGTATGTATCTATATATATGTATATGTATGTATGCGGAAAAACTTTACAAAATGTAAAATTCAAAATTTTAAAATTTATATATATATATATATATATATATATATATATAAATTTTAAAATTTTGAATTTTACATTTTGTAAAGTTTTTCCGCATACATACATATACATATATATAGATGATGTGCGTAAATGTTGGGCAAATGCCATCGGTCAAGAATAAGGCTAACATCTGGACAGGGCTCTAGACATGATTTCAAAAACCAGGACTTTTGGTATTGAAAATGGGCCATGTAGGTCCACGTTTTGGTATAGCCCTTATATAATGGTACCTCCCTCTTTTCGGTATTTTGATTATTTTAGCGACAGTATTCACCGAAATCGCTTTAAATTTGGTATTTGAAATTCGTAATGGATACTACAGCCTATGACAGAAAATTGTAGCTCCCGATATTCGGTACATTGATGATTTTAGCAACATTATTCACCGATTTCTTTTTCAAGTTTCGCATTTAAATATTCTAATGGCTTATGACAAAAGTTGCCTATGCAGGTCACGCCGTCGTATAGGTCCTAATACAACGGCTACATTACTTTGTAGGGCCTATTATGAATATTTTGAGGAGTTACAAAGTGAATGACAAAGCTAATAAACCCTGGGTGGTGGAGGGTGTAAAAACAAGTAAAACAGAGAACTAGATCAACGTAAATTGACTATTTTCACCAATTTTTTAATTAAACAAAATCGGCATTTTTTAATTTTTTTTTAATCTAAAACACTGATAACTACCTGTATTCGATGTTGAAATTTTAAAATTATCACTTCTAAAGAGAAAAAAACAAAATTATTGTACTTCAAAAAACCAAAGACATTTTTTTTCTTCTTCTTCTTGCGAAAAAGTGAAATATTTCTCAACTTTACCAGTGTGAAATTTTCGGTACTGAAGTAGAATTTAGTGTTCTATAATAGTTTAAAAGCATTTATTCCAAAAGACGAATTTCATATTTCAAATCATCTCCGTGTTTTGTGATTTGACCCCTCTGTGCGGCGCCTCTTCCAGAAATTCAATTCATTTTCTTTCGACATACATAGACATACCGTAAATTTCCTAGTCGGATTTTAAAGGGGGTAATAATAAAAATAAATAATATATATATTTTTTAATTTCTGACATTGGTAACTATGTTGGTATGATATTTTGATAACAGAGGTGTCAATATTTTGACCCTGTAATGCCCCAACTTTTATATTGAAATCTACGATTTTTCGCCGACTCTTCATTTCTAGACGAATTAAAATTTTACAACCTGATATCAGAGACGTATGGAGCGGTGGAAGGTAGGGTCCGTTCCTCCTGTTTCATTTCTAGCTTTTTTGTAGATTTTAACATGGAAAAGATAAGATAATAGTTTTGATTAAATGGGATATTGTTTAGGTGACTCTATATTTCCCAAAACGAACTTCATGGCAAAAAAATGTGGATTTCACCATTTGGTTTCAAAGACTTCTGAGGACTTCTTGACAAAATTGAAATAAAACGACGCTATCGATTTGCTTTGGTTACGCCAAGAATTCCAGGAAACTAAGCAAAACCATGTCCCCTGGTTCTAATACCGCTCGTACCAGAGGAAGAATTTCGAAAAATGTTACCTCTTGTAAATAAATGTTTATTTAACTTAGGATGGAGTAGTTCGTCAGGGTCAAGGATTCGTACAGAAATTCATTTTTTTGTGACAAGTAGAGAAATATGGTTGGCTTTGTTATTATTCTGATATAGAGAAAAATATGCTTTATAATTCACTTATTCTACTTATGCTAAATGTGCTTATACTACCAGTATTCAGTACGCACTGCGATAAGCTTATCCGATATTCTTTGACTAAAACATTGATATGCACTTTTGTCATGGGAGAGAAAATGCGGAGGTTGGTAAACCTGGCTAATTACCTGGGTCCCCATGATACGAGATGATTTATGGAATGTTAGTGAACGGATTGCTAATGCTGTCCTTTGGTTTGTTGTTCAATCAGAACATTAGTCTGCAGGTCCACATAGTTTCTGTACACCTTTCCACAGAAGTTTTGAATTACAACTAAATTGAACTGTTCTGAAGAGGTGTCCGTTAGCTAATTGTTAGAACATTCCAGTAACGAATCCGTATTCGAAGAATACATCATTAATTGATGGTTTATTTGTAGGGTTTATTTCAAATGGTTGGTTTGGTTCTAATTTTCATTCTTAAAGTGTAGACAAAAACTTTACAAAACAAAAAAAGTTTGGGGGTTATAGCCAATCATCACCTCTTTTGACGTTTTCTTGGTATATAAATGTTGCTGACTTTAAATAAAGGTTATACATTTCGCTATGTCCTATAGAAAATACCGATCTTTGAATTCAAATAAATAAATTTATATTAGCATTATTATTTATTTATTTTGCTCTCTACTAACTTGCTAAAAACTATAGGTAGAATGAGTGATGCATTCTATTAGGATTTCAACTGTTACTAATCACCTTATTCTTTCATGACACTAATTGCTTGATCTGTTAAACAAATTATTTTGGTTCCATCATGGTACGCCATAGGGTAAACAACTGAAAAGTCATACGCATGACCTAAGAAACGAAATATGGTATCAAAATGTATTCATCTATTTTAAAATGTTAAGAAACCAACCGATTCGAAACCCTTAAGGTTTGTGGTTTGAAAGCCTCCCGCATTTATTTCGCACTGACGTTGAGCTCGTCCCAATATTGCCAAAATGGATTTCTTGTAGCTTTGGCAACCATTGTACCAGGTTTGACTGTAGGCCGCCTCGCCAATTTGTAGGCTCTAAAAATAAAAAAAAAATTGAGTTGCGGAATATTTCAAAATGTTCAATAATACCTTATTGATTATAAGTTGACCATAATAGCAAACCATAAAATATTGACCCAAACTGGTGGGCAAAAAAGCCATATATCCCAGAACATTTTTATTTATACCTTGAGTGAGGACATACACCGCTGCACAGAAAAGTGTAGCTACTGTTGAGAACAGCATGACCAGAACAAGTAGACTAAAGATTTCCTTTAGGTCATCCGCCAGTCTTAAAATAAACAGAACAAAAAAAAAAAACATAAAAATGCATTATAAAATCCACGTTTCTGGCTCTGATAGTCCGAGGCAAAATTTCTTTGAAAAATCGAAGCCTGTAGATCTGATAACCATTGAGAAAATTTCTTTAAAAATCCACGTTTGTTACTCTGTTAGTCCTTAGGAATATTTCTTAGAAAATTCACATTTATGGCTCTGATAGTCTTTAAAAGATTACTTTTTAAAATCCAGGAAATTTCTGATAGTCCTTGGGAAAATTTCTTTGAATAAACCAAATTTGTGTTTTTGATAGTTCGTGTCCTTAAGAAAATTTATTTAAAAAATCTATGTTTATGGCTGTGATAGCGCGATCCTCTTGAAAAATTATTTAAAAAACGTTTGTGGCACTGAAGTTCTTAGAAAATGTTTTTAACATACGTTTGTGGCTGTGATAGTCTTTTTTAACAATTCTTTAAAAAATCCACGTTTGTTTAATAGTCCTTGAGAGAATTCCTTTAACAAATCGAAGTGTGTGGCTCTGATAGTCCTTGAGGAAATTTATTTATGTAATCCACATTTGTGACTCTGAAAGTCCTTGAATTTCTTTAAACAATACACTTTTATGGCTCTAATAGTCCATAAGACATTTTCTTGAAGCCACCATGGCTCTGATAGTCCTTTAGTCAATTTCTTTAAAAAAAAACACGTTGGTCGTTGTGATGATCCTTTAAAAATTTTCTATATAATCCACTTTCGTCGTTGTGATAGTCTTTTGGAAAATTCCTTTAAATTACCCAAGTTTGTGTATCTGATAATCCTTTTGAAAAATTCTGTAAAAATCCAAGTTTATGGCTGTGAAAGAACTTGAGGATTTTTTTTTAATTCCAAGTTTGAAAAAGAACAATTCTGCAAAAATGGAAGTTTATGGCTGCTAAAGAACTTGAAAATGGCTGTTAAAGTCCTTTAGGAAATTTTCTTTAAAAAAAAATCCACGTTTATGGTCCTTATAGGCCCTTTGGAAATTTTCTTTAAAAAAATCCAAGTTTATGGCCCTTAGAGGCCCTTTGGAAATTTTCTTATGATCCTAATACTCCTTTTGGAAATATTCTTTAAAAAAAATCCCCGTCTATGGTCTTAATATTCCTTTTGGAAATTTTCTTTAAAAAAATCCACATTTATGGTCCTTATAGTCCTTTAGGAAATTTTCTTTAAAAAAATCCACGTTTCACGTTTAAGTCCTTTAGGAAATTTTCTAAAAAAAGTCCACGTTTTACGTTTAAGGTCCTGATAGTCCTTTAGGAAATTTTCTTTAAAAAATCCACGTTTCACGTTTAAGGTCCTGATAGTCCATTAGGAACGTTTCACGTTCAAGGTCCGGATAGTCCTTTAGGAAATGCTCTTTAAAAATCACTTTATGGTCCTGATAGTCCTTTAGGAAATTTTCTTTAGTCCTTTGGGAAATATTCTTTAAAAAATCCACTTTCACGTTTAAGGTCCTGATAGTCCTTTAGGAAATTTTCTTTAAAAAATTCACTTTATGGTCCTGATAGTCCTTTAGGAAATTTTATTTAGTCCTTTAGGAAATATTCTCTAAAAAATCCACGTTTATATTCCTTATAGTCCTTTAAAAATCAATGTTTATGGCCAAAATAGTCCTTTGGGAAATATTCTCTAAAAAATCCACGTTTATATTCCTAATAGTCCTTTAAAAATCCATGTTTATGGCCAAAATAGTCCTTTAGGAAATTTTCTTTAAATATCCACGTTTATGGTCCCGATAGTTCTTCAGAAAACGTTCTTTTAAAAATCCACGTTTTTGACTCTGATAGTCCAAGTTTGGGACTCAAGGTTTGGGGCTCCTCTGATAGTTCTGGAAAAAATCAACGTTTGCAACTTCTACAATCCTTTTGAAAATTTGTTTGGCTCTGATAGTCCTTTAGAAAAATTTCTTAAAAAATCCACATTTTTGGCTCTCTGTCCTTGAGAAAATTTCTTAAAACAATTCTTTACTTACTCCAATAAAATTTGATGTTTTCTCACCAATTCTGCCATGACCTTTAAATCTTTTTGTTGTCTCTTTTCCATGGGTTCATATGACTCCAAATTCCTCGATATGTAATCGAAATGCATGCACAGCTGTATGGCATAGGCAATTAACCAAATATCGGGACAAATATTGAATACAATGGCATAATGACTGTTCATAACTTCCATTGAATAAATCACCATATAGCCCAAAGGATTCCGATGGTCAACGACATACGATTGTTCCTCGTACAATTTATGATAGGTGAATTCGGCATCAGCATAACCCACCTTTATCAGATCCACAAAATATTCAATTATAGATTCGGCCAAGGGTGAAAAGAGTATCAAAGCCGTGGCACAAAAATACAAATACAGAGTCGTTGTAATCCATCTCGGCCAATAGCTCTCATTTACGCGATAGGCAAAACGATCCTCAATGGATGTGGGGAAAATTTCACGAAATTTTCGAAAAAGTTCCTTCTTTGATTTTATATTGCGAAAGAAATAGAAACTTTTCAGTATTCCAATGGCATTGTAATTGAAATCGTTGATAAGACGCAGAAGCAGTGGCAAATTGTTGGCTCCGGACACAATGTCCGCAAAAATTTCATCCGTCACAAAGTAGGTGCAATACAAACAGCAGATCAAGGTCAGAAAAAAGTACAGCTTCATTAGCCACCTTGCCAACCATGGACGGGATATTTCCAGAAAATCATAGCCCAATGTTTTCAACAGCACACACGGAAGATTGACGAAATCTTCAAAGTAACGCTCCACTTCAGCCATTTGGTAATTGCAAGCTGGCACAAACGAAAAGCAAATAATGTCCCAAGTAATTTATTGCGGGTTGTTGCGTTTTCACTTACAACTTTTGGTTTTTTTGGTCCTTTACCTTCAAGGGCTGTTGAAAATTTGAAACACTTCCCTGTCTCGGTGGTGTCCTTTTGTTTACACTTGCCTCATTAAAATTGCATAAAACTGGCTTCAATTAAAACATTTTCTTCTAGTTTGGGACAGTAAACAGACAATTAACTCATTAACTAATTATGTATAATTATAGTCTGGCTAACACTTCAGCTAAATGTCAAAACAACGTTCAACGTTTGATAACTTAATTTCCACGAAAGTAACAAAGACCAACATTTTTAAATTTCCGGTTAAAAATTTAATAGATTTTTTAAGAATTGTAAAAAGGACTCTTAGAACCACAAACGTGTGCATATTTAAAATAAATTTTCTGGAGGTCAATCAGGGCCACAAGCGGGGATTGTTTAAAGAAATTTTCACAAGGACTATTAAAGCCCCAAAGAGCTTTCAAAGAAATTTCGTCAAGGATTAGCTGATCCATAATGTGCATTTATTTTTCTTTTTTAATTTTCTCAAGGACTATCAGAGCCACAAACGTGGATTTTTTAAAGAAATCTCCTCAAGGACTATCAGAGCCACAAAGGTGGATTTTTTAAATAAATATCCTCTAGGACTATCAGTGCCACAAACGGAAATTATTTAAAGAATTTTTTCCAAGGACTATCAGAGCCACAAGTGGATTTTTTAAAGAAAAGAAATCTCAAGAAATACTAGAGTTCCAAACGTGGATTTGTAGAAAATTTTCTTAGCGACTAGAAGACTGTATTTTTAATCAAAATGTTCAAGGAGCAGCAGAGCCATAAACCTGGATTTTTAAAGAAAATTTCTTAAGGACTAACAGAGCCATAAACGTGGATTTTTTAAACTAAATTTCTTTGGACTAACAGAGCCATAAACGTGGATTTTTTACAGAAATGTTCTTAAGGGCTAGCAGAAGCTAGCTAGCAGAGCCATAAACGTGGACTTTTTAAACAAATTTTCTTAAGGACTATGAGAGCCAAAAACGTGGACTTTCTAAACAAATTTTCTTAAGTACTATGAGAGCCACAAACGTGGATTTTTTAAACAATTTTTTTTAAGGACCACAAACATGGACTTTTTAAACAGTTTTTTAAGGACTATGAGAGCCACAATCGTGGACTTTTTAAACAAATTTTTTTAAGGACTATGAGAACCACAAACATGGACTTTTTAAACAATTTTTTTAAGGACTATGAGAGCCACAAACGTGGACTTTTTAAACAAATTTTTTTAAGGACTATGAGAGCTACAAACGTGGACTTTTTAAATAATTTTTTTAAGGACTATGAGAGCCACAAACGTGGACTTTTTAAACAAAATTTTTTAAGGACTATGAGAGCCACAAACGTTGACTTTTTAAACAAATTTTTTTAAGAACTATGAGAGCCACAAACGTGGACTTTTTAAAGAATTTTTTTTAAGGACTATGAGAGCCACAAACGTGGACTTTTTAAACAAATTTTTTTAAGGACTATGAGAGCTACAAACGTGGACTTTTTAAATAATTTTTTTAAGGACTATGAGAGCTACAAACGTGGACTTTTTAAACAATTTTTTTAAGGACTATGAGAGCCACAAACGTGGACTTTTTAAACAATTTTTTAAAGGCCTATGAGAGCCACAAACGTTGACTTTTTAAACAAATTTTTTAAGGACTATGAGAGCCACAAACGTTGACTTTTTAAACAAATTTTTTTAAGAACTATGAGAGCCACAAACGTGGACTTTTAAAGAAATTTTCTTAAAGAAAAAAATTAAAGAACATTTCAAAAGGACTAGGCGAGCGAAAAATGTGGGCTTTTTAAAGAAATTTTCTTAAGGACTATGAGATCTAAAAACTTAGATTTAAAAAAAAAAAAATCAAAAGGACTAACAGAGCGATAAATGACATGATTTTTAAAGAAATTTTCATAAGGACTAGCAGAGCAATAAACGCTAGCTCTTTAATGTAATTATTACAGTGCATTTTTTACAGAAATTTTCTCAAGAACAATGAGAGCGACAAAAGTCGAGTTGGTTTAGAGTTTTTTAAAGGGACTATCAGAGCAACAAATGTGGATTTTAAGACATTTTTTCGAAAGACCTAATTAAGGAATATTAAGAAGTTTTTTTAATAACTATTTTGGACTAGTCCAGAAGTAATGTGAATTTTGTAAAAATTTTTCTGAATAGAACAATGTTGCCTTTTTTGTTCGGGATACCATAATATTTTGTTGTTGCAAAATGGTCAGGCTTAATCCCTTTATTGTTGTTTTTATTATAACAACGTTTGTTTATTAGTGGAGAACGATGGTAATGAATTACTAAATAGTAATGCTGAGTTTAAAAGAATTTTTATACCCCAAGGTTTGTGCATTTGTTTGTAACCGACAAAAGGAAACGAGATAGACCCATTGTTCCTTTTGATGATCTGCATAAAATCACATTCTGAGTCGATCTGTTTTAAAAAGTAACTACAGGTCGCATTTATTGCCCGATCCAGATGAAATTTTGGACAAATAATTAGTTTGAACCAAGGACGAACCCTATTGAAAATGGAGATAATCGGTCAAAATTTAGATATAGATCCCACATATATTTTCGTCCAATATGCTTTTTATTGTTCACCTAACGTGTAATATCAGCCCAAATAGTATGGAATTTTTCACGACCAGATTAGGCCTGAAAATATTTATGCCAAATTTTATCGAAATCGTTTCAAGTATAGCTATAGCTCCCATATATATTGTTCACCTGATTTGTTATTTTTGTCCTCCGCAGCCATAATATGCACTCTGTAAAAACGATATTTGAGGAATTATAACAAATACAACTCAGAAAAACCCTGGCTAAATTTTATCGAGATCGGTCAAGAATTGGATATTGCTCTCACATACAGGACGAGGTCAAAGCACTGCAACCAACTTCAGACTGCTGTCATTTCTAAGCCACTCGTCCGACAGCCGTTAAAATTATTCTAGTAACAGCTCATTATATTGTTTACAAGCGTACAAAAGCATTTTGGTGAGCATTTTCCAGAAAAAAATTATTCGTGATGGAATTCAAGCGTGATAGTGAGATTTCTTTATATTTGGCTGGAAAACCACAAGTGGCTATTGTTAGAGCACTCCAGCATTTAAATGTGAATAAATCTTTTTTGTCTCGTATCATCGTTCGTAACTGTGATACTGGCAACATAGCCCGACGTCAATGAAGTGGATGGAAGAAAACAGCAACATCAGCAGAAATGGTTCGAAAAAAAAAGAAGCGACATGATCGAAACCCGTGTCGCAGTGGCCGAAAAATGGCTCGTTAGCTGAGCAAGCGCTTCGCCGGGAATGGGCCAAAATACCGCAGAGCAACATTCGGGCAGCGTGTGACGGTTTCATTGGCCATTTGAAGGCCATAATTCGTGCTAAAGGTGGCCAATTCGAACAAATTTAAACTTATTCTAAAATTTGATGCTATTACCGGCATTTTTTGCTCTCATTTAATAAAACTTAAAAAAAATGGTAAAAATGATGGCGTTTGACTTTGTTGCAGTTTTTTTTTATCTCACCCAGCATTTGAATTTGTCCAAGAATAATGTGAAATTTGTAACATTTTTTCTGGAGAAATATTCTTAAAAATCCACCCTTGTCGCAATATTGGTCCTCGAAAATATCCGCACTTGTAGATCCATTAATTTACGCCTGTAACTCTAAAAGCCCTTGAAAAATGTAATTCAAGGCCCTATAGCTGTTAGATCCAGATCCAAGCTTCTAGTCTTGATTGCAATTGAAAAAAATTCTCAAAAAATCGTTGTTCTTAAAAACTCCAAGGTTTTAGCTTATTGGTTCTTGAAAAGTATTCTCAAAAAATTTCCAGGCTTGTAGTTTCAATACTTCTTAAAAATATATTATTGGTAAATCAACAGTTGTGGCTCTGTTGGGTGTTTAAAAAAAATTGTAAAAGTTCATATTTTTATATGAATGTGAAAATTTTTGAAATTATTTCACGTTAAAATCTGCAAAAGTCTAATAGAAAATTTGTTCAATAACTCCACATTGGTGGCTCCGATATCCCAACAGAAAACAAGTAAGGAAAAGTCAAAAGTCAGGCGGGGCCGACTTTATGATACCCTACACCACTATGCATATTTAGTAGATCTCCCGTGACAAAATAATTTATTTAATATAGCAGCTACTCATACCACCTACCAACATTTGGCTTAAGATCAGTTAGATTTCATAGGGAACTAATATATGGGAGGCATATCCAATTCTGAATCGATTTTCACGAACTTTGGCGTAGACATTTAATTCTTTAATACCAAATAACATTGCTATAGAGTGCATGAGAAGGATAATATTAAAAAATATTTATCGGAGCCGAGTTCCACAAAATGGAAACATATGCCCCGAAATTCACGCTATTTTGGCTGATATTAGCCATTATTTGCACAATAAACCTGAAATCGAATTAAGGATATTTAAGACCTAGACAAGACAATTAACACGAAATCGGATATATATGTGAGAGCTATATCCAAATCTGAACGGATCTTGATGCAATTTGAAAGATGTATTTCTGGGCTGTATCTGATATCTGGTACCAAATATCATTGTTGGGAAGTGCTTATTACGCATGTGAGGGACTTAAACACCAAATCAGATGAAACATATATATGGGTGCTATAGTTATATATCTGAATTCGGTTTGATGTGCCAAAATGCAGGTCATTTAGACTTATATTGGTCATTTGGTGCACAATTAACCTGAAATCGGTTGAAGGTATATATATATGATCTATATCTAAATCTGATCCGATTATCACCAATTTCAATAGGGTTCGTCCTTGGGCCAAATAAATATTGTTTGCAAAGTTTCATTTCAATCAGACAATAAATGCGATCTGACGGGCTGAAATGAATAAATCGACTCAGAAAGTGATTCTATGAAGATCCTCAAAAGTAACTATGGGTCTATCTTGCTTACTTTTCCCAGTTACAAACAAATGCACAAAGACATAATTACCTTACCACTATGTGG